CATCCCTTGATACTGGCAACTACCTAAAATGGAAGACAGCAAAAGTAGTCCTCATATTTAAGAAAAGGAAACGAAAACGAGGCACCCTAAACTACAGTCCTGTCTCTCTGACATGTATTGGTGTGCAAAGTCATGGAAAGATCATCAGGATGAGAAGTGGGGTCGAACACCTGAAAGGAACAGATTTAAATGAAAAACCAGCATGGGTTCATGGAAGGCAAATCTTGTATCACAAAACCTCCTGGAGTTTTATGACAAGGTAACAGAATTAAGACACGAAGAGAGGGGTGGGTAGATTTGCTTTTTCCTAGACTGCAGGAAGCCTTTGACACCGTTCCCCACAAGAGATTAGTGCAGAGCTGGAGATCAGGCGCATGTAAAAGGGAGGGCACTGCAATGGATAAGGATACCCTAGACAGGAGGCAGCAACGTGTCATGGTACGTGAAGAGGTATCACGTGCGCCTGTTTACCAACGGGGTTCCACAGGGGTCAGTTCTAGACCATGCTATTTTTGATATAGGTGAACGACATGATAAAATAATCGAGGCCCTTTTCCAATGACGTAAGTTTAGAAAAAAAAATGGGAGGGGAAAAAGGGGGCGACTAAAAAGAGACCGGACGGGCTGGACATGTGCCCAGTAACTGGCTTCTCGAATTAAATCCCACAAAGAAAAGCCCCCATAAGATTGGGGGGGGAAAAGAAGACTCAGACAGAGTATGGCAGGGGACAAAGACAAAGACCTCACTCGGGGAAAAGCCCTTTGGGCGTGACCATAACACCGGCACACACGGGCACACATAAACCAAAAACCTGCTGCAGCATACGGGCCCCGGGGGAAACCTGAAAATACGTTCCGTCCTTAATAAGAACTTCAAAAACACTGACACGGGGTATTTTTAGCCCAACTGAGTATGCGCCCCATCTGGAACCCACCCCTGGGCACGTAAAGATTTTAAAAAAGTACAAAGGTTTTGCAAAAAGGCTGCCCCAAGCTAAAGGGGAATTTCTTTACGGGGAAAAGGAAAGGGGAAAATCGACTGACACACGGGGGAAAAGGGGGTCGGGGGAACATGGTAACGCTACAAATACTGTGGGAATAGCCAAGGTGGACGAGATAGGATGTTCCAGAGGGGACCAGGGAAGGTCACAACTGAAGCGAAACTCGACGATCACAGGACTTAGGAAAGTTTTTCTTCAGTCAAAGTTGTCAAAAGGAATAGCCTACAATGAAGTAGTGAGGCAGAACCAAACTTTTTTTAAGAAGGGGTATGACAAAGCTCGGGAAGCAAGAGAAAGAGGACCCAGTACTCAGTGAAGAGGGGGGGGCCAGGCTAGCCGACCCCTGCAACCAAAATTTAGGTGATAAAATTAGGGGTACCACACACACCACATTCACTTTGGCGGGGTTCTTCTTCTTGAAAAATCTCCCCTATTCCCAAAATTTTTCCAGCGGGAAGATACATGACCCAGCTGGCAAATTTTTTTGCTAAATGGGATTTTTGCAAGTAGAAAAAACCGGCCCAGCCAAAGGACTTTTAAGCAGAATCCCCAAAACAGGATCCTGCAGAGAAAGCAAGACAAGGTCATGCCGGCATACCAGGGTACTCGACTGCAACAGCATGATAAGAAAGGCAAAAGAAAGAGATGGTACAAAGACGGGAAAGAAAAGAGAAAAGATGGAGAGGGAAAGGGAGAACCCACTCAGGGGGAAGATAAAATACAGCCTCCCTCACCCACCTACAAACCCCCCCCCCCCCCCAACCAGGAAAACCCCCAAATCAACAAACTTTCTAACCCAAAACACATCCAATCCAATGCCCCCCCCACCTCTTTTCCAAACTCCACCCCACAGAAACCACCCATATTCATTAGCGGGTCCCCACTTCCCCAACCCCATGACCCCCCAGACGACAGTTTTAGAAAGGAATTGAAGGTTGGGATACAAAGCAGACAGAATAACAAATAATTTTGAGGAGTGCTGAAAAAACAAGGAAACATCCCCAACAAAATGCACTCCCAAAATAAATCCACCGGTGATAGCAGATGCAGTCTTTCCCCCGGGAATCAAACCCCCGGGAAAAAGAGGGGGGAGGGGGGGGAAAGGATTTGCACGCTCTTTAAAATGGGGTGGGGAATTTGAGGAAATGGGGGAAGGTGGAATGGAAAAGGAAATTTAATAGGAAAAATTTCCCCCTGGGGCCCCAAAAGGTTTGGTAATTGCAGAAGTACAACCCGCCACAGAACTGCAGGGGGCCAAAAAAAATACGACAAAGAACAAGCAATGGTTACACAAGCCGAGGGGGCCCGAAAGCTCACATGGGGAAAACAAAGTTACTAGTTTTGGGGGAATTCAACAGGAGATTTTCCTGCCCCGGGGGGCCCCAAAAATTGAGGCCAAAAGATGGGGGGGTCTGGAAAAGCCTCATGCATCAAAAATGTTTGAGACACTACCAGAGAGAGGTGAGGATGATCCCCAAACATAAGAACATAAGAACGAAGGAACCTGCAGAAGGCCTAAATGGGCCCCTGCGAGGGAGGCCAATCTGGACCTTTATTCCTTTGAATTCGACATCGAGGGTTCAGAGAAAAGCCCCTTGGAACTAGTATCATGTGGGTTTTTCTTTGATTTTCATATTGACACAAGTGGGAGAGTAGCAGGAAAAGGAAAGGGGAAAAACCCAAATTCAAAAGGGAACACACAGCATGAAACTTCCTGCAAGAAGTTCAGCGGGAGAAGAACTGGCGGAAAACCCGTAAAAGAAATGAAGGACTATGTGACAACAAAATGCAAGGGGGCAGAGGAAGGCTTGTTTCCAAGGGGAAAAAGAAACTGGGAAACCAAATGACCCTTGGTTTACCTTAACCCTTTTTCCCTGAATTAGAAAGGGATATGATTTGTCCAATTTGTTGATAAATTTTGCGAGCAGAGAGCTACCAAAATTACCAATTCACAATCAAGTACGTTTTTAAAGGGAGTGAAGTCCTCCTTTCCCATGGCCCCCAACGTTTCCAGTACATTGCTAGGTTATAAAAAAAGCTGGGAACCTGAAAAACCCGTCAGAGCTAAACGTTAAGGGGTAGGGGGGCAAAAACTAATGTACTAGAGAATGGAAAAAAAATACAGAAGGGGAAAGGACCCAGGAAAAAAAAAGAGTTAGTTGAAGAGCCAAATGAGTATGCACAGATATGGGGGGAGGCCCCCACAGTACAAAACAGCATACATCGAAAGTCAAGTCTGACCCGAAACTGCGAATATCCACTTAGGAAAAGACAACTCAAAAACCCGTAAAATTTGGTTGAGGGAAAAAAGGTGGGAGCTCACAAGAAAGACAAAGGGAGTGAGGATTCAACACAAAAATTTTGAAGATTTCAGTAGAGACGGAAGGGGCCTGGGGAAACAGAACAGAGGGGGGGCCCAACAAGGGTTATACCAACAAGTGTTAGAGAAATACACCAACTGAAGCAGGTGAAAACTGCAATAGCCTTTAACCTCAAAGAGGGGGACCGGACAACATCTCCCGGGGGTCCTTTAAAGGGGGCAGAGAGCTGTGTTGCCACTAACCACAAATTTTTAACACATCCCTTGAAACTGGGCAAACTACCTGAGGGGATAGAAGACGGAAATGTTATCCAATGTTTTAAAAAGCAAACAGGACTAAATAAGACCAGTGTCAGTGACATGTATAGTATACAAGTCGTGGAGGAAAATTTTCCAGGAGGAGAGAGTGTGTGGAGCTACACATTGAACACTGAACAATATTATAAACGACAACTCAGCCACGGATTTTAGAAGGCAAATACTGTGTCACAAACTTGGAGTTCTTACAAAGTAACAGAAGTAGGACACAGAAAAGGAGGTGGGTTGATTGCATTTCTTGGACTGCAAGAGGCCTTCGACACAGTCGACACAAGAGATTATGATGCAGAAGTCAAAATCAGGCATGTTATAACAGGACAGGTAGACAGCAGAGTGGATCAGAGATACCTAACGAGAGGCAACAACAAGTCAAGTATTATAGTGTCAAGTGAGGTCACCTGTACAAGCGGGGTACCACAGGGCAGTCCACACACATACCCTACACAACAACAACAACACACTACTACACATGCACCCCCCACGCTCCCCACACACACACACACCACACCCCCAACACACACACCACACCCCACACACACACACCACAGCCCCCCCCACAACACACACAGCCCCCCTCACATACACCACAGCCCCCCTCACATACACCACAGTCTATCAACAAGTGCCTTTGCCAACCAGTAACTAACACACCCCACATACATAACTGGCAAAATGTCTTTTGACAAGTGCCTTTGACAGTAGGTAACTAATACAAAAATAATTCAAGTTAAATTATTGTAAAGAGAGTTGTACACTTGAAACAATTTTGCAAGAGGTGTAACAATTTATACTTGACCTAGGAAGACAAGAGAAGATGAAGTCAACGAAAGATAGTGATATTTATTTACATTGAGAAATTAACTTTACCAAAAATATATACTTACCTATACTGTATACTATGCCATAGGGTAAGATTTGGGCTTCTTCATCACATTTTAAACAGATCAGACATAAGTAACTGAAAACTCTTAGTTTAACAATCTAATTCTAAATTTTGAGGTTTGCCTCGTGGGCTACGATCTGTAGGGCAATATCAAGATTTTACTGGAATATCCCATGGAAAATTCGGTTGTATAAATTCATGTGATTAATGTTTTTGTTTAAAACATGTACATGTATATAGGTTTTAATTTGATTTCTATTATATTTTTGGCTGACCTTACATACATGGATATAAATACCTATTTTGTTTACAGTTTCTCTTTAAAGTTATGTTTCCTGAAGATATTGTTTTTTACAGATAATCCAGTCATACTGAATATTTATCCAAGTTTAGAAATAATACTGACAAATATTTTAATAGTATTAAAATCTCTTGATTTAATAAACAGTGCTTTCGTCCTTTTAAATTTTCCTACTAGGCACAGCTCTGCAGTGCAAGAAAGAAGGCCAAATGAATAGTAGTGATGTTCCTGTTACCAGTGCAGGAACTGATGCTACTCACTGCCAGACTTTATGTGCACGGAGACGTCCTGCAGCTAGCATTGCTAGTATGAGTCTTGATGGGGTGGAAGCCAAGGAGGAAGGCAGCTATTCTATAAGCAATGCTGCACTAACATACTCAGCTACGTATGCAAGGACAGCTTCACCTCCTCGTAAGTTTAATTAGTACTGTATTTTCACTTTGTTCAGGTAGTCATTTAGCCCTAGTAATACAATGTTTACAAATATTTTTTTGGATTTTCACATTTTTACATACAGTGGAACATGACTTAAGAAATCGTAATGACACGATTGCAAATAAACCATACCCCCGGCCGGGATTGAACCCGCGGTCATAGAGTCTCAAAACTCCAGCCCGTCGCGCTAGCCACTAGACCAGCTAGCCACAATAAGATTCATCCAACTAGGTATATTTCTACACCATAGGAAAGTTAGCACAGGCACCTCTGTGACCACAAATGCAAGTTTTTACAGACGAATCTCCAGCTAGCGTGGCCGTGACGAACTCTAGCTCAAGTCCCTTCACTGCCGTCAACATGACTTAAGAAATCGTAATGACACGATTGCAAATAAACCATACCCCCGGCCGGGATTGAACCCGCGGTCATAGAGTCTCAAAACTCCAGCCCGTCGCGCTAGCCACTAGACCAGCTAGCCACAATAAGATTCATCCAACTAGCTGGTCTAGTGGCTAGCGCGACGGGCTGGAGTTTTGAGACTCTATGACCGGGGTTCAATCCCGGCCGGGGGTATTTTTTTTATTTGCAATCGTGTCATTACGATTTCTTAAGTCATGTTGACGGAAAGGGGGAAGGGAAAACTTGAGCTAGAGTTCGTCACGGCCACGCTAGCTGGAGATTCGTCTGTAAAAACTTGCATTTGTGGTACAGAGGTCCCTTTTGTGCTAACTTTCCTATGGTGTAGAAATATACCTAGTTGGATGAATCTTATTGTGGCTAGCTGTTTTGTGGCTCGCGACGGGCTGGAGTTTGAGACTCTATGACCAGGGTTCAACCCCGGGGCCGGGGGTAGGGGTTTTTTATTTGCAATCGTGTCATTACGATTTCTTAAGTCATGTTGACGGCAGTGAAGGGACTTGAGCTAGAGTTCGTCACGGCCACGCTAGCTGGAGATTCGTCTGTAAAAACTTGCATTTGTGGTCACAGAGGTGCCTGTGCTAACTTTCCTATGGTGTAGAAATATACCTAGTTGGATGAATCTTATTGTGGCTAGCTGGTCTAGTGGCTAGCGCGACGGGCTGGAGTTTTGAGACTCTATGACCGCGGGTTCAATCCCGGCCGGGGGTATGGTTTACAGTGGAACCTCAGTTTTCAACTTTAATTTGCTTCAGAAAGTCTGATGAAAACTGAAGCAATATTTCCCATAAGAAATAATGTAAATCTAATTAATCTGTTCCAGACACCCAAAAATATTAACAAAAAAAAATATTTTTTAGAGAATAACTATAGTTTTACATACAGAAAACAATGAGAAATAAATATAAAGAACTAATGAAATGGATAAATGAACATTTAACATAAATTTTACCTTTATTGAAAACTCTTGCTGGCATATGGAAGACGACTAGGAGGGGAGAGGGGGGAGAGGTTATTGTTTGGAAGGGAAGTCCCTTTCCATAAGGACTTCAGGTATCAAGTCCCTATCCGGGGTTACTTCCCTTCTTTGTCTTTTAATGGCATTAGGACCAGCTTGAGAGTCACAGGACCTCTGTCGCACAAAAAATCTGTCCAAAGAGGTCTGTTTCTGGCGTCTCTTTAAGATTTGCTTAAAATGGGACAAGACATTGTCATTGAACATGTTGCAGACATGGCTTGCAACAGCTTTGTTAGGGTGATATTCCTCCACAAAACTTTGCAACTCACTCCACTTTGCACACATGTCCTTAATCACTGAAGAAGACTCATTCTCCTCTCTCTCTTCCTCCTCCTCTGAAGCAATTTCCTCGGCTGCAATCTGTTGCTGTTCCAGTTGAAGGTGTTGCAGCTCTTCACTGGTTAGCTTTTTCCTGTTGTCGTCCAACTCTTCCACATCCTAGCCACTCACATCCAACCCCATGGACTTCCCCAAAGCCACAATAGATACTACAACAGGCATAAGGTTGGTTGTCAGGGTCAGCCTCAAACCCTTTAAAATCCCTCTCCTGGACACATTTTGGCCACAATTTCTCACCTTCTTTATCAAAGGGCACACTCGGAACTTTCTTTGGCCCCATGGTATTTAGCAGTCGCACTCAATAAACAAGCACAAAAAATAGTAGATTATTATGAAATGTTTTGTATGAAAATGCAGGATAATGTTCACTCGACAAGAAAAAGCCAGACTGACTCAAAATGCGTGTGTGGGATGCTTTGTGTAGGCGTGGGCAGGCAGACATGTTCGGTATGGCGGATGAAAACCGAGGTTATGAACGAAAACAGGGACAAAATTGTGACAAAAAAAGTCGTCGAAAACCAGGGCAAACAAAAACTGAGGTTCCACTGTATATACAGTACTGTATATAGTTCTCAGTGGCATCTACTTAGACATATTCCTTTATTTTGTTTGCCTTTGTGATACTGCATTCTTATGTACCTTTACTCTTCTGTCTTCTCTTGATGAGTTCTTCTCACCATAACAATACTTTAAATTTTATTTTTTGAATGCTCTACATATCTTCCACAAACATATTAAAGGCTGTACATTCTTATTCTCATTACCTGTAATCATAATACAACCTGTAATCCTTACAACAGTTAAATTTGATAAATGTGTTGGTATGCTAAGCAGTTCTCTTGTGTTCCTAGTCATTCCTAGATTTATTGTTTATGACCCCTTTGAGACTGTACATATCAGCAATCAAATGCAGTAAAATGTTATATTACATGATAGTTACGTTCTTGAAAACACCATGTTAGGTAAATCTATGTTATGTATATATCAGTAATCAAATACGTACAGTAAAACGTTACATTACACAGTAGTTATGTTCCTGAAAATACTGTGTTCGGTAAATCTGTGTTAGACAACTGTAGAAATTATGCGAAAAATAGGGTTACGTTCCTGGGTGCCTCAAAAAAGCTAAACAACTTTTTTTTTTTTTTTAGACCTCCAGATCTTACAAAAATAAAAGTGAATATGTAATGATAGTTCATTGTTGTGATGTATTATGTTTTTTTAATGCATAAGACTACAAATGCAACAGAAATAATAGTATACCTTACCTTAAATTGTGGGTGCTGGTGTTTGTGGATGATCGTGAAGAGAGGTAGTTTAATATGTTTATTATGCACCCCATACCCATCCTGTGGGCAGTAGTCAAAAGATTACAGAGGTACATAATGGGTCCAGGGACTGAGCCCTAAAGTTTTAATAGCTGAACAAGGTACAAAGGTAATGAACTCACAAGTTACAAAGGTAATGAATCATGTAAGTAAGTAAATTTATTTACTTATGTTTATACATGGCTACAATCACGAACATATTATAGAATAAAGAGCAATTCACACTTCCACAACCGGTCACAACTATAATGAGTTATTGGTACAAGTATTAATTGTTGAGTGTGTGTGTGTGTGTGTGTGTGTGTGTGTGTGTGTGTGTGTGTGTGTGTGTGTGTGTGTTGTCTGTCTGTCTGTCTGTGTCTGTCTGTCTGTCTGTTTGTTGTCTGTCGTCTGTTGTCTGTCTGTCAGACAGACAGTTGTCGTCTGTCTGTCGTCTCTGTCTTTGTTTTTCTCTCTCTTTTTTTTACACAGGGTTTGACGGTTAAAAGGTCCCTAGCTTATTGACAAGCTATTTACAGGGTTTAAGGATTCCTAACTTTATTGGCAAGTAAAAGGGCTTTACCCCTCGCTCATTTTTAAAGCATTTTTATTGTTTGAGACATGAAAGTAGGGTCACGATGAAGTTGGAGCCATCTGGGGCCACAATTTTTTCCCCGTGATCAACTGACTTTATCTCGTTGACCATTATGCTGTACGAATGTGTTCATACTGAGTCATCCTGGGTATATTGATCTCAGTGGGTGATGTTTTTGGAAAAAAGGGGGCAGCCAGAGTGAAGTTGCTGCTTTCTGCCCATCTTGTGGGAAAAAAGCTTGTTTCACGCTGTCCTCGAAGTGGATTCCAAGTGTGGTACTTTGACAAATTGGCCTTATACATAACAATAGGCCCACCACACCCCCTCCTATGTTGAAGGCTCTGCTGAAAATGACAGATCTATCCAGGATGGGTCCAGGCGAGAGATGAGACATCTTGCTCTGTTCTCTACTCTGTCAAGCAGTCGCAATGAGAGGGGGGGGCAGGCAAACCAAGAAAGTGGAGCATACTCAAATGTGAGCGTACTTGTGCCTCGTACAGACTCTTTGAAAACCCCTACGGGTCAAGCAAAAGTGCGAGATATGGCGAAGTGCTGTAAGCTTCCTGGCTGCCTTGTTTTTTTGCAAGTTATTTACAACATGGTTCTTCATGGTTAGTTTGGAGTCAAATTTCACCCCAAGGATATCAACTTCTTCTCCAGGTGCCAACACCCTCCCATTCATCCTTATACTGCACCGAAATTACCATCATGTTACCTAAAAGACGATCATCATTTGCGTTTTCTCAGGTGCAAATGTTATTGCCATCTATTTCCCCAAGCTGATATAGCTCTCAGCTGGTGATTGTTGATGTAGCTTAGAGCAGCTGGCATTTTTTTCTCTTGGATAAGTGAATGTCAGTGTACAGTCGTCTGCATATGCAATGTGATTCTGGGATGAGATGAAGAAGGTCGTTGAAGTAGACATTCCATAACAATGGTCCCAGTATGCTTCTTTGTGGAACACTTGCCCCAATTTGGATGTCTTGCTGATTCCATTCCATTGAGGAACTAACACTTAGAGATCTACCATGAAGGTAATCACTGAGGGGACCCTAAAAGTAGAGCCTGCAATTCCCAGTGCTTGAAGTTTTGCTAAGAGGGCCCCGGTGCCCACACCCGGTCGAAAGTGCCAGCAATGTCCAGTGCTACCACACAGCTGACTTTGGATTCACCAGGGGACTGGTGCCACTTAGTGGAGAGGTTTAACAACAGATCAGCAGCAGAGTAACCTTTCCTGAAGTCATATTGACGATCACAAAGTAGTGAGTGGTAGTCAAAAAATTTTGTCATTTGTCTT